TATGGAGATAGGTAATGTGATTNACCATTGAGAACTTGTCAAACAACGAAATTTCTTAAATTTACATATTTTTGTATTTATCTCACTATTGATGTATGGGAGAGCAAAAATGCAAGAGAGCAATATTGTTAGGAATGAAATTTGCTACAACTTTCGTTCCAACAGTTTGCTTGTAAAATGCTCCAATTCCCAAATGGTACCATTAATCACTTGTTAAACAACGAAATTTCTTAAATTTGCATATTTTTGTATTTTTCTCACTAGTGACGCATCTAAGAGCAAACATGTAAGAGAGCAATATTGTTGGGAATGAAATTTGCTACAACTTTCGTTCTAACAGTTTGCTTGTAAAATGCTCCAATTCCCAAATGATACCATTAAGAACTTGTCAAACAACGAAATTTCTTAAATTTACATATTTTTGTATTTTTCTCACTATTGATGTATCGGAGAGCAAAAATGCAAGAGAGCAATATTGTTAGGAATGAAATTTGCTACAACTTTCGTTCTAACAGTTTGCTTGTAAAATGCTTCAATTCTCAAATGGTACCATTAAGAACTTGTCAAACAACGAAATTTCTTAAATTTACACATTTTTGTATTTTTCTCACTATTGATGTATCGGAGAGCAAAAATGCAAGAGAGCAATATTGTTAGGAATGAAATTTGCTACAACTTTCGTTCCAACAGTTTGCTTGTAAAATGCTCTAATTCCCAAATGGTACCATTAAGAACTTGTCAAACACCGAAATTTCTTAAATTTACATATTTTTGAATTTTTTTCACTAGTGACGCCTCAAGGAGCAAAAATTCAAGAGAACAATATTGTTAGGAATGAAATTTGCTACAACTTTTATTGAAACAGTTTGCTTGTAAAATGCTCCAATTCCCAAATGGTACCATTAAGAACTTGTCAAACAACGAAATTTCTTAAATTTACATATTTTTGTATTTTTCTCACTATTGATGTATCGGAGAGCAAAAATGCAAGAGAGCAATATTGCTCGGAATGCAATTTGCTACAACTTTCGTTCTAACATTTAGCTTGTAAAATGCTTCAATTCCCAAATGGTACCATTAAGAACTTGCCAAACAACGAAATTTCTTAAATTTACATATTTTTGTATTTTTCTCACTATTGATGTATCGGAGAGCAAAAATGCAAGAGAACAATATTGTTAGGAATGAAATTTGCTACAACTTTCGTTCCAACAGTTTGCTTGTAAACTGCTCTAATTCCCTAATGGTACCATTAAGCACTTATCAAGCAACCAAATTTCTTAAATTTGCATATTTTTGTATTTTTTTCACTAGTGACGCATCTAAAAGCAAAAATACAAGAGAGCAATATTGTTAGGAATGAAATTTGCTACAACTTTCGTTCTAACAGTTTGCTTGTAAAATGTTCCAATTCGCAAATGGTACCATTAAGCACTTGTCAAACAACGAAATTTCTTAAATTTGCACATTTTTGTATTTTTCTCATTATTGACGCATCTAAGAGCAAAAATGCAAGAGAACAATATTGTTAGGAATGAAATTTGCTACAACTTTCGTTCTAACATCTAGCTTGTAAAATGCTCCAATTCCCAAATGGTACCATAAAGAACTTGTCAAACAACGAAATTTCTTAAATTTATATATTTTTGTGTTTTTCTCACTATTGATGTATTGGAGAGCAAAAATGCAAGAGAGCAATATTGCTCGGAATGCAATTTGCTACAACTTTCGTTCTAACATTTAGCTTGTAAAATGCTTCAATTCNCAATTCTTTTTTTTGGTGTTTGCCAGTTATGACAGGCAGCGTTGCTAACCCTACAGATTTATCGGTAGATCTACCATTATAAAAGAGTCTATAAAAACGATAATTTAAACTTGAGGTGTTGCTACATAAAAGATTTAAATAAAGACCACTTTTTCCTCTGTAAATGTTCTATATTAAATGGTTAAAGAATGGCCGGTGTCGAATGTTAAAAAATTTACCTCAAATGTACATATATGATATGATGAATTTTCATACATTGTCATTTCAAGATAGTCGCACATTTTACGGATACATGTATGTATAGTCATCATATTAGGATTTGAGGTAAGTCTTTTAACATTCGACAGCGGTTATTCTTGTGTATTTTATGTACAGTTTGCATAGCTCGAGTTTTCATGGTTTCTGTTGTGGTTTTTTGAAGATATGATTGTGGTTAAGAGTAACAAAGTTGTTGACTGAAGATGCATTTTTTTTGTAACATGCTCCATTTCCCGAGTGATACCATTAACAAGTATAGCTACGAAATTTCTTAAATTTGCATATTTTTGTATTTTTCTCACTAGTGAAGCATCTAAGAGCAAAAATGCAAGAGAGCAATATTATTAAGAATGAAATTTGATACAACTATTGTTCTAAAAGTTTTTTAGTAACATGCTCCAATTCTCAAGTGATATACCACAACTTGCTAAACAACGAAATTTCAAAAATTTTCAAATTATTGTATTTTTCTCACTATTGACGCATCTAACAGCAAAACTGCAAGAGAGCAATATTGTTCAGAATGAAATTGGCTACAACTTTTGTGCTAAAAGTTTTTTAGTAACATGCACCAATTCCCAAGTGATACCATTAAGCACTTGTCAAACAACGAAATTTCTTAAATTTGCATATTTTTGTATTTTTCTCACTAGTGACGCATCTAAGAGCAAAAATGTAAGAGAGCAATATTGTTAGGAATGAAATTTGCTACAACTTTCGTTCTAACAGTTTGCTTGTAAAATGCTCCAATTCCCAAATGGTACCATTGAGCACTTGTCAAACAACGATATTTCTTAAATTTGCACATTTTTATATTTTTCTCATTATTGACGCATCTAAGAGCAAAAATGCAAGAGAACAATATTGTTAGGAGTGAAATTTGCTACAACTTTCGTTCTAACATCTAGCTTGTAAAATGCTTCAATTCAAAATGGTACCATTAAGCACTTATCAAGCAACAAAATTTCTTAAATTTGCATATTTTTGTATTTTTCTCACTAGTGACGCATCTAAGAGCAAAAATACAAGAGAGCAATATTGTTAGGAATGAAATTTGCTACAACTTTCGTTCTAACAGTTTGCTTGTAAAATGCTCCATTTCCCAAGTGGTACCATTAAGCAGTTGTCAAACAACGAAATTTCTTAAATTTACATATTTTTGTATTTTTCTCACTAGTAACGCATATAAGAGCAAAAGTGCAAGAGAGCAATATTATTAAGAATAAAGTTTGCTATAACTGTCGTTCTAAAAGTTTTTTAATAACATGCTCCAATTCACGAGTGATACCATTAACAATTTTTAATAGAACGAAATTTCTTAAATTTTTATATGTTTCTCATTATTGACGCATATAGGAGCAAATGTGCAAGAGAGCAATATTATTAAGAATAAAATTTGCTATAACTTTCGTTCTAAAAGTTTTTTAGTAACATGCTCCAATTTCCGAGTGATACCATTATATCTATTACCATTATATGATATTTATGGAGATAGGTAATGTGATTAAATGTGCAAGAGAGCAATATTATTAAGAATAAAATTTGCTATAACTTTCTTCTAAAAGTTTTTTAGTAACATGCTCCAATTTCCGAGTGATACCATTATATCTATTACCATTATATGATATTTATGGAGATAGGTAATGTGATTCTATCAAAGCGATCAAATTTCAGTTATACATCTCTTTAAACATGTATTTAGGGGGCGGGAAAGTTTTCGGATCTATCTTAGGTGATACATAAGTAAAATTCAATTTCGGCTTTGTTGTGCTTCACGTCCGGAGTGGAGATTCCACTTTCTTAATATATTCCGGGGGGTAACAAGCGTGAACCGCCAATCCCTTCTTCGTAGAAACTAGGTGTCTAATAAGTCAACGGACGGATGGAGTTCTAACCCGCGACACCGTCCTAATTCATAATGCAAAATACGGGTGAAACTACTTACTCCTAAATCGAGAATAAGGATTGAAAATTTCTAAGAATTCACCTGAACCCAACCCCCACCTCCGCGGTCCTCTAATTCCCCGTAACTAATGCCCGAGATATATCCGCGTCTTAGGAATGGTAGGCTGCACGTAACACCGCCATCATCGCAGGTTTAGCCTCCTGCTAACCCTTTCCCCAAAACCCACGGGCGCCCTCACTTTCCGCGCACCGCACTAACGAAGCACACGAGCCCTCTGCTAATGCATTCCCTGTGAGCTTTAGATGCCCCGGACCAGCTACTATAGTTAATACCCGACACCTCTTCGCCGAATTTCCTTACATCCCCTTTATTACGTGCACGGTAGGGGGGTTGTTTTGGTGACGAGGGTTGTGTTACGATCCGACATTAGGGTGTTTTAAACGAAAAATTAACCTTAGTTAGGTGAGAAAAATGACGCTTCCTAAAACATGAATTCGTTTAGTCCAGTTAGTTTAAGTAATCGATTTTCGGGTTTACGTTGACCCTCTTATTTTCCTTCTAAAATCGATAAAACACACCCTTCTCGTCTAAAATGACACCGATTCGCTTCTTTGATTCGTTTTCTTTCTTTCAAGATTATCATTATTAAAAGATCAAAATAGATCTTAGTCATAATTCGAACTTTACATGGGGGAGTTGATTAAAAGAAAAATATTAAGAAGGAGATGTTTTTTTTGGAGCTCCTGCTGCAAGCTCTTCCAGACCAAAGGATCGGGTTAGGCGGCACCTTATTGGCCTGGTAGTGGGGATGCACGAACCCTATTGGCTACCCGCAAGGAACCAGGATCTGACCTTAGTATCAAGATCCATACTGGGAGGCCAAGTTATTGTTTGCAGGAAATATATCTGCGGAGGATTACGTGGGGTTATTATATTGGGCCCTGCAGGATGTTTGTCGACTTCCGCTCCGAACCCTAAAGCGCCGTTTGACGTCTGTTTGTAGACGATAATATTGAACGCCCCCAATTTAAAAATTCTTTTATTAAGACGTAATTAATTTCTTTTTTGCAGGTCTTGCGCATCATTTAGGATTACCAGGTCATCACCCAGATTGGGCAATCCTCGGCGGAAGACACCCTTACCCTCACGGCCCGTTTATTCCTCACCATCATCATCCGCATTTTCCACATCACATGTTTGCCGCGTTGGATCGCCCAGCGAATACATCACCAAGAATAGCAAACGGTAAATTATTGACACAGTAAAATAACGAAAATCATCAAATTTTCATATTATTGTTCTTTTCTCAATAGTGACGCATCTAAGAGCAAAAGTGCAAGAGAGCAATATTATTGAGAATAAAGTTTTCTATAAATTATGTTCTAAAATTTTTTTTGTAACATGCTCCAATTCCCGAGTTATACCATTAAGAACTTTTAATACAACGAAATTTCTTAAATTTTCATATTTTTATATTTTTCTCATTATTGACGCATATAAGAGCAAAAGTGCAGAGAGCAATATTGTTAAGAATAAAATTTGCTACAACTTTCGTTCTAACAATTTACTTGTAAAATGCTCCAATTCCCAAATGGTACCATTAAGCACTTATCAAACAACGAAATTTCTTAAATTTGCATATTTTTGTATTTTTCTCACTATTGATGCATCGGAGAGCAAAAATGCAACAGAGCAATATTGTTAAGAATCTAATTTGCGACAAGTTTCGTTCTAACAGTTTGCTTGTAAAATGCTCCAATTCCCAAATGGTACCATTAAGCACTTGTTAAACAACGAAATTTCTTAAATTTGCATATTTTTGTATTTTTCTCACTAGTGACGCATCTAAGAGCAAAAATGCAAGAGAGCAATATTGTTAGGAATGAAATTTGCTACAACTTTCGTTCTAACAGTTTGCTTGTAAAATGCTCCAATTCCCAAATGGTACCATTAAGCACTTGTCAAACAACGAAATTTCTTAAATTTGCATATTTTTGTATTTTTCTCACTATTGATGTATCGGAGAGCAAAAATGCAACAGAGCAATATTGTTAAGAATCAAATTTGCGACAAGTTTCGTTCTAACAGTTTGCTTGTAAAATGCTCTAATTCCCAAATGGTACCATTAAGAACTTGTCAAACAACGAAATTTCTTAAATTTGCATATTTTTGTATTTTTCTCACTAGTGACGCATCTAAGAGCAAAAATGCAAGGGAGCAATATGGTTAGAAATGAAATTTGCTACAACTTTCGTTGTAACAATTTGTTTGTAAAATGCTCCAATTCCCAAATGGTACCATTAAGATCTTGTCAAACACCGAAATTTCATAAATTTGCATATTTTTGTATTTTTCTCACTATTGATGTATCGGAGAGCAAAACTGCAACAGAGCAATATTGTTAAGAATCAAATTTGCGACAAGTTTCGTTCTAACAGTTTGCTTGTAAAATGCTCCAATTCCCAAATGGTACCATTGAGCACTTGTTAAACAGCGAAATTTCATAAATTTGCATATTTTTGTATTTTTCTCACTATTGATGTATCGGAGAGCAAAAATGCAAGAGAGCAATATTGTTAAGAATAAAATTTGCTACAATTTTCGTTCCAAAAATTTTTGTATAACATGTTCCGATTGCCCATTCGTTAACATTGTCAATTAATTTTTGATTTATTTTTTAGAACCAACATCATCAAATTTAGGCCCAATATCAATTAATTGCAACGCACACAGCACCACCTCCCCAAAATCATCCCCAACACAAGTTGGGCTCTTAACAACGGCAGAAAACGTTTCAAGCGGAGAAGATGACATCTCAGTAACTGCATCTCCAACCCCCTCCCCGCAACAAAGTCCCGCTTTTCCCGGTTTAGCACCACAATCCATCCAAAACAACAACCTCTTCAACAACGCCTTAGCAGCAAGTCTTCTTTTAAACACCCCTTTATTACCACCGCCAAGCCAATGGTTGTACTCCCAAATTTATCCCCACGATTTCTCTTGGATGCACCTAAAGCACTCCGGATTACTACCTCAAAAAAGTTCTTCCCCAGATTTAATCCAAAACCCTGATAGTTCGAGTAAAATCGACGGGGAAAACACGAGGGAAGACGATTTGGACGAAAAAAATATCGATCAAGACGAGGATGACGATGAAGACCAAGATAATCAGAATAAAAGCGATATCGTTGAAGATGAAGGGAAGGACTCGAAGGATGAAGGGGTTAATTTAACGGTTTATAAAGGGAGGAAAGCTGCGATTACGCTGGTGAAACAGAAAGAGGAAGTCAGTTCGAGTGATGTTAAAAATATTAACGAGAAGCATAATCCTAATTCGAGACATTCGGATGTTTGGAGACCTTATTAAAGAAGAATGAATGAAAAAAATCCACCGTCCTTTTCAAGAATTAATCTTTTTTGATTCAGTACTTTTCTAATTACTGTCGTGTACATAGATTATAGGGAAACAATCGACGTGCATGAATTTGGAATTCGATCAAGGAAAATTAATTTATTGTGGGTGTGTTTCTAAAGCAGTAGTTAACGATACTGTGTGTTTGTACAAATTATCATGTTAAATTGTATATTATTATTACTTATTATTATTATATTGATAGGAATAAAAATGTGAATAAAAATGGGATTTTTTTTTATCACCTAATTAAATTGAATTCTCACAAACTTATTGAGATAAAAAAATATGGATTCTTTAATAAATTATTAATAAATGTACCGAATTTAGTTTCTTTGATTTTATTAGTAACTTAAAAAAAAAATTTTGAAATCAGCGTGTCAAAAATATACCAATCATAATCGAGATTACTTTAAGAATTTTTTCTCAAGAACTAATCGTGATAATAAGAAAAGATTAACAACATTACAACTTTTGTTCTAAATGTTTTTTAGTAACATGCTCCAATTCACGAGTTCATATTTTTATATTTTTCTCATTATTGACGTATATAAGAGCGAAAGTGCAAGAGAGCAATACTGTTAAGAATANTGAGATATAGTGATGAAACAAAGATCATTTTAAGAATTTAATATTAATATTTTCTCCAAATAACCATTAGATAAAGATAAAGGATCTTAAATCTTGTTTTTACTCATTTTTATAACAATTAAATATGTACAGTTTGGTTCAAAAAATCGTAGTAAGAGTGTTTATGGAAATTAAGAAATTATTTATGGCACATTCAATCTCAATTAAATTTCCTCCAAGATACTTCTTATTTCATCTTGATATCTCATTTCGTTCTTGAGATACGATATTTTATGTTACAACCCTACATTAAATTGTTATAAATGGTAAAACTAGTAATATAAAAGATCGTATCTCAAGAACGGATTGAGATATCTTGCTGAAATAAGAAACATTTTAAAGCAAATTTAATTGAGATTGGGTGTGCCATAAATAATTTCTTAATTTCCATAAACATCGTTGTTATGATTTTTCAAACCCCACTTAACACTTTGATTTTTGTTAATTTTAAAAGCATCAATTTAAAAGATTGTATCTCAATAACGAATTGAGATATAATGATGAAACAAAGATCATTTTAAAAATTTAATATTAATATTTTCTCCAAATAATCATGAGATAAACATAAATGATCTTACATCTCGTTTTTACTCATTTTTATAACAATTAAATATGTACAGTTTGGTTGAAAAACTCGTAGTAAGAGTGTTTATAAAAATTAAGAAATTATTTATGGCACACTCAATCTCAATTAAATTTCCTCCAAAATGCTTCTTATTTCATCATGATATCTCAATCCGTTCTTGAGATACGATATTTTATGTTACAACCCTATACGTTAGATTGTTATAAATGGTAAAAGTAGTAATATAAAAGATCGTATCTCAAGAACGAATTGAGATATCTTGATGAAATAAGAAACATTATAAAGCAAATTTAATTGAGATTGAGTGTGCCATAAATAATTTCTTAATTTCCATAAACATCGTTGTTATGATTTTTTAAACCTCACTTAATACTTTAGTTTTTGTTAATTTTAAAAGCATCAATTTAAGAGATTGTATCTCAAGAACGAATTGAGATATAGTGATGAAACAAAGATCATTTTAAGAATTTAATATTAATATTTACTCCAAATAACCACGAGATAAAGATAAAGAATCTTACATCTCATTTTTACTTATTTTTATAACAATCAAATGTGTAGAGTTGGGCTTAAAAAATCATAGCAAGAGTGTTTATGGAAATTAAGAAATAATTTATGGCACACTCAATCTCAATTAAATTTCCTCCAAAATGCTTCTTATTTCATCATGATATCTCAATTCGTTCTTGAGATACGATATTTTACGTTACAACCCTATACGTTAAATTGTTATAAATGGTAAAAGTAGTAATATAAAAGATCGTATCTCAAGAACGGATTGAGATATCTTGGTGAAATAAGAAACATTTTAAAGCAAATTGAATTGAGATTGAGTGTGCCATAAATAATTTCTTAATTTCCAAAAACATCGTTGTTATAATTTTCAAACTCCACTTAACACTTTGGTTTTTGTTAATTTTAAAAGCATCAATTTAAAAGATTGTATCTCAATAACGAATTGAGATATAGTGATGAAACAAAGATCATTTTAAGAATTTAATATTAATAGTTTCTCCAAATAATCATGAGATAAAGATAAATGATCTTACATCTCGTTTTTACTCATTTTTATAACAATCAAATGTGTAGAGTTGGGTTTAAAAAATCATAGCAAGAGTGTTTATGGAAATTAAGAAATTATTTATGGCACACTCAATCTCAATTAAATTTCCTCCAAAATGCTTCTTATTTCATCATGATATCTCAATTCGTTCTTGAGATACGATATTTTATGTTACAACCCTATACGTTAGATTGTTATAAATGGTAAAAGTAGTAATATAAAAGATCGTATCTCAAGAACGGATTGAGATATCTTGGTGAAATAAGAAACATTTTAAAGCAAATTTAATTGAGATTGAGTGTGCCATAAATAATTTCTTAATTTCCATAAACATCGTTGTTATGATTTTTCAAGCCCTACTTAACATTTTGATTTTTGTTAATTTTAAAAGCATTAATTTAAAAGATTGTATCTCAAGAACGAATTGAGATATAACGATGAAACAAAGATCATTTTAAGAATTTAATATTAATATTTTCTCCAAATAACCATGAGATAAAGATAAAGGATCTTACATCTCGTTTTTACTCAATTGAGATATAATGATGAAACAAAGATCATTAGTCTTTTTATAACATGCTCCGATTTCCAAGTGTTACCATTGGCACATAGTGAAATAACGAAATTCATCAAATTTTCATATTTTTCTTGATATCTATGTATCTGAGAGCAAAAGTGCAAGAGAGCAATAATATTAAGAATAAAATTTGCTACAACTTTTGTTATAAAAGTTTCTTTTATAACATGCTCCGATTTCTAAATGTTACCATTGGCACATAGTGATATAACGATATTCATCAAATTTTTACATTTTCGCATTTTTCTTGATATCTATGTATCTGAGAGCAAAAGTGCAAGAGAGCAATAATATTAAGAATAGTATTTGCTACAACTTTTGTTATAAAAGTTTTTTTATAACATGCTCCGATTTCCAAGTGTTACCATTGGCACATAGTGAAATAACGAAATTCATCAAATTTTCATATTTTCGTATTTTTCCTGATATCTATGTATCTGAGAGCAAAAGTACAAGAGAGCAATAATATTAAGAATAGAATTTGCTACAACTTTTGTTATAAAAGTTTTTTTATAACATTCTCCGATTCCCAAGTGTTACCATTGGCACATAGTGAAATAACGATATTCATCAAATTTTCACATTTTCGTATTTTTCTTGATATCTATGTATCTGAGAGCAAAAGTGCAAGAGAGCAATAATATTAAGAATAAAATTTGCTACAACTTTTGTTATAAAAGTTTTTTTATAACATGCTCCGATTTCCAAGTGTTACCATTGGCACATAGTGAAATAACGAAATTCATCAAATTTTCATATTTTCGCATTTTTCTTGATATCTATGTATCTGAGAGCAAAAGTGCAAGAGAGCAATAATATTAAGAATAGAATTTGCTACAACTTTTGTTATAAAAGTTTTTTTATAACATGCTCCGATTTCCAAGTGTTACCATTGGCACATAGTGAAATAACGAAATTCATCAAATTTTCATATTTTCGCATTTTTCTTGATATCTATGTATCTGAGAGCAAAAGTGCAAGAGAGCAATAATATTAAGAATAGAATTTGCTACAACTTTTGTTATAAAAGTTTTTTTATAACACGCTCCGATTTCCAAGTGCTACCATTGGCACATAGTGAAATAACGAAATTCATCAAATTTTCATATTTTCGCATTTTTCTTGATATCTATGTATCTGAGAGCAAAAGTGCAACAGAGCAATAATATTAAGAATAGAATTTGCTACAACTTTTGTTATAAAAGTCTTTTTATAACATGCTCCGATTCCCAAGTGTTACCATTGGCACATAGTGAAATAACGAAATTCAACAAATTTTCATATTTTCGCATTTTTCTTGATATCTATGTATTTTAGAGCAAAAGTGCAAGAGAGCAATAATATTAAGAATAGAATTTGCTACAACTTTTGTTATAAAAGTTTTTTTTATAACATGCTCCGATTTCTAAATGTTACCATTGGCACATAGTGAAATAACGAAATTCATCAAATNCTACACATTTGATTATGTATAGGGTTGTATTTAAAAAGTCATAGCAAGGGTATTTATGAAAATTAAAAGATTATTTATGGTTAATTTTTTAGTTTAATTTGTTTTATTGCGCGAAAATGCTTTTACAGGAAGAGAGATATAATTTTTAAAGAAACTTGGGGAAGTATATGTAGTGTAAATTTCCGCTTCGTTAATCTCTTAACATATTTTTATTTTAATATATAAAGTTATTTTTTGGTTCCTTTTGATGATTCTAATGATGCTAATAATCTCTTTTTTTGTATCAGTTCGTGCCAAAGTTTATGGTGACGTCGGCGAGGGTCGGTCAAAGAAAACAATCCTCTAACGACGTCTGGGTCGAACTTGGTCGTTACTTTTTATTGTTATCGTCTTCCACGCCACTTTTACATGGTTATTTCGGATATCGAACCGAGTTACGCCCCCCAAACCATTCCAAACCATTCCAAACCATCTCAATATCAATCGTTTCTTTCTTTTTGCTCATTACTAATAATTATATTAATAACGTGTGTTAATAAATGAATCGATTTGAAAAAAAAAAAAGAAACCTTTAAGTGTAAGGTTTCTTAATAATTACCCACTCGAACGAAAACGAAGGGCTAAAAGTCCCTTTTCACTTCTTTTTTGTCGTCTCTACCCTAAACACGCACGGTTGAAGTCGGAATATGAAGTAAGGAACCGTTGTTGAGAGGTGAATTTTCGACTGAAAGCGCACCTCTATGGCAACCTTTCACCTCGAATTGTCGCCGTGGAGACGTCACAATGAAGATGATCCTTCGGGGTAGAAGCAATTACGTGTTGGCTGGCTCCTTAACGCTCCATAAAAAAGAAAGGCCAAATTTGATTCGATCATTTCATGAA